AGCTTTTGCACCAAAATGAGCATACTTTAATTATATTTTCACTAGCTTTAAGAAATCCTCTTGTATTTCTTGACTGAGTGACTGAGGCATCCATCTGCCAATCCTGCTCTCTGTCTATATTTCCCATCACAGCAAGATGTGCTGGCATTTTCAGTTCTGTGCCGATGGCTGCTGGGCTCTTCTGGCCCTGAAGTTCTGCAGGCCAGGAATCTGGTCTCCTGGGGACAGCTTCCCCTGAGGCTTCTTTGCTTTGGAGTCATTCTCAGATGCCTGCACCAAGTCATTTGTGGATGTGAATTTACTTGTACCCTCAGGGACCCCAAATATCATGTTTACAGCTTGGAGAATGAGTCCTTTTTTGTGTATTTTACTCATAATAAGGGAATTGACCTCTCTTTCCTGTTTCCTTTCTAATAGGCTCAGCAGGGTTTGCTTGCTTGCTTTCCCATTTGTTTGTTTGTTTGATTTGATTACCTGCTGCTTAATTGGGCCCTTCTCTCCCCCAGTTTACAGCACCATTTTGCTAACAGTGATTTCTTTATCCTTCCTCTTTGGCCTCTGGATCCTGACATTGTTTGGTGTCTATTCCAGACTCTGCCCTTTAAGACAAAGTTGTTGTGTTCTGAATTGGCCAAAACGTCATTTCTATTTTTCAAATACATTTGATCACATTTCTCTCTCTGAGCAGGATAATTTTACCATGAGGCTATATCAATCCAGGCGAATTTAAAAGTCATCAGGGTGTGTACAGTTTCTTTTCCGTTAAAAATCTATCTGAACTGCCCTGCATATCTGTGAACATTCTCCTAAGGTGGCTTCTCTTTTCCATCTACTCCACCAACATCTTGTCTTATTTTCAGTTCTCATCTCTGCTTTTAACAAATGCATTTCTCTTTGAGTCTGATCTTCCTTTTCTAGATGGGTAGTTTTCAGTGTCTTCTCTTAGCTTTGAATTTGGAAGAACGGCACTGAACTTTTTTCTGTGGGTACTTACATGGAAAATATTTGTAAGATTTCCTCTGATCCTTCAATTAGATCAGCCCTCTTCCAACCCTGCAGTTTGGGTCCCTGGCATCCAGATGATATTCAGGATATAGGATGCAAACAACTCCAATAACCTAAGACCTGCAAGGCATCACTCCAGAAGCTGCATGGGTCGAAATCTACACCCTTAACTTTCCACCAATGAAAACAGACAAGGCAGCCAAATGAGTGTCAAATACCAGTGCCTAGGGATTTACACCTATAAAACTGAAGAAAAACAGCTTCAGCATGCCCTGTAATCATTCTTCTGCTACCAACCATCAAAGGCCACAGTAAAACCCATGAAATCCACACCTTCTAAAACTAGAAACCACAGTTTTTCCCCCCACAGGTTCATTGACAGTAAAATTTATCCCTGGTGCTTAAATTCAAGATCTCCTTGCTCATAAATCTTAGACAGGATAATTTGTTTTATTTCTTCAATGATTCCCTTCCCTGCTGTTATTTCTTATTTCCACTGTGTTTTTCCATCCCCACTTCTCCACCCCCTTCTATGTTCAGCTGGCTTGCTGGGCTGAGTTCTTCTAGGAAGAGCTGACTCGTACACTGCTGCTGATGAGGGACTTCCCACGTGGATGGTCCCATTTGCTCTTGAATTGGAAATAACGTTGACAATGTATTTGAATGCCACACATATGTTCCTTCATGTGTTTCCTGTGGAGAAAGAATCACCAGTGTTAATTCCCACTTTTAAGCCCTTGTCCTGTATTTAATGCCATCGGTCTGTCAAAACTGAGTCTCCGAATTTTTGATTCAGACAAAAGCACATTTATGGGTATTCAGCAATTTGGATAAGTCTACATGCTGTTTGAAAATTAATTTAGGGCTAGCTTTTGGCCTCACAGTTAAGATACCAGTTAGAATGTCTGTCTCTAGCATAGTGCCTGAGTTGAATTTCTGGCTCTACTTCTGATTCTAGTTTCCTGCAAATGCACAGCCTGGGAGCCAGCAGATGCTGGCACAATTTCTTGGGCACTACCACCCATGTGGCAGATGACCAGATTGAGTTCTGCACTTCTAGTTTCAATCTCACCAGCCTCAGCTATTGCAGGCATTTGTGGAATAATCCAGCAGATGGACTGTCCATCTCTCTCTGTGTCTTTCAAATAGATTTTTTAGAAGAAAACTTAGAAATAGCTTTATTAAAAATAGTACTTTTCTGTTCACTTGTACTTCACTGAATAAAGATTTATGCCAATATGTGGATGTCTTCTTAGCAAAGTCTGTTTACTGGTTCTGTCTTCATTGTCGTGTTTATTGTATTTCAAAGCATCTTTTACCTTACACTGCCTGATGTTTTTAGAACTTAACACATTCTTCTATTGGGGAAGCCTTTCATACTCTGCTATTGAAAGTTGTACAAGGGGCTGATGCTGTAGCACAGCAGGGTGAACGTTGGCCTGCAGTGCCAGCATCCCATATGGGTTCCAGTTCATGTCTCGGCTGCTCTGCTTCTGATTCAGCTCCCTGCTAATACGCTTCGGAAAACAGCAGAGTATGGCCAATTCTCTAGGCCCCTGCATGCACATAGGAGACCCAGAAGAAGCTCCCGCCTCCTAGCTTCAGACCAATCCAGCTCTAGCCTCTGAGGCATTTGGGAAGTGAACCAGCAGATGGAAGATCTCTCTCCCTCCATCTCTTTGTGATTCTGCCTTCCAAATAAATAAATAAACAAATAAATAAAATATGTTTTAAAAATATAAATTTATTTTGGTGCAAAATAATGTTAAAATTTGTGTATTTATGTAATTCATTCTTCATAAATATTTTCAAGCACCCTCACATCTCTTAAAATATTTTAAAATGTAAATGTTGTTTTAACTCTCCGATTTTACATAACAAATATCCTTACTTTCTCTCTCAGGAGTGTTTACTTTATTCTGAAAATACTTTAGCTCATTGATGTTCTTTTTGAAAAATGATTCTCAGCAATCAGCATTAATATATCAAATAGTGTCTGATTTGCATTGTACAAATGAGATCATTGCTTTCTTTGTTCTGTTTATGACTTCAGATCTGCAGACCAATATTTTATTGGCTGCTTTGGACAGCCATGAACACAACAGATTGATGTGGAAAGTGCAGACCACTTCCTAGAACTTGTCCCATTCATTTTGTCATTTTTCATATGACATGGTGTCAAAACCAGTTTTCCCCATTTTGTATGGCTAACCTTTATTCAGACTGATTACTGTTTTTGAAACAAATGTTGTAAAGTGACATGAGTGGCGTAAAACAACCAGATAGTTTATTATATTGTTCACTAATTTATGCCACCCTGCCTGTAATTACAATCACATATATATTATTTAAACCTGGACTTTCAGTTCGAGATGGTCTGCTGTGGCATGGTAGAGCATGTTCTTTTCTCTCACTGCTGTTCACCGGTTATGTGATCACAGACAACTTCCCATTTTTTTTTTTTTAATGGCTTTGTTAATAGGTACAGTTAAAGATTTCTTAAAACTTCCATGGAAGGCCCTTCTTTGTTGTATTTTAAGAACTTTATTTACAGAAATGCTGGCAATGCTGAATATATATCAGATGTCTTACTTGGGTTGGGATGAAAATGGATGAGTTTACTTATGATTGATTTGTGGGTTTGTACACACCATTTTCCTTTCTGTAAGGGGCTAATGTATTAGAATATATACTATCGAGTGTCTTATCTGTACCAGCTCTATTAGCAAATCATTTTTTCTTACCATTAGAAAAATCTATCATTTCTATTCTCTTGATAAAACCATTATCACAGACGTTCACAGCAATCATGAGTACTAATCAAGTGGATGATTTACAAAAAATTTTAGACATTTCTTAGGGACATAAGCACTCATAATAAAATGGGGTGATTTTAGAGTTCATTCAATATAGTACTCTTCTGATATTATAGAAGTTTCATGCAGAGAAAATCTTTTCTGTGAGATACAAAATCACAAATATAAGGAATACATATACATTATATATGTGAGGGGTCTTGAAAAAGTTAATGACAAATCCCATTTACCTTTCAATTCCACTTGCTATAAATTTTTCATGTCAGCTTATATGTGTGTATGTGTATTTAATTATATATATATATATGTATTGTGTGTGTGTGTGTGTCTGTGTATTGCCATGTGTGTAGCCCTGATGAAAACTAAGAAATGAGTTTAAAACTGTAATCAGGGGTCAGTATGGGGGTGCAACAGGTTAAGCAGCCTGCTATGCTGGCATACCAATTGGAGCACAGATTTGAATCCCAGCTGCATTGCTTCACATCTAACTCCCTGCTAATGTGCATGAGATAGTAGCATAAAATGGCCCAGGGACTAGGGCCCCTGCTACACACGTGGGAGACCCAGATGGAGTTCCCAGCTCCAGCTCTGGCCATAAGGTCATTTGGGAGTTAACCAGTGGATGGAAGATCTCTTTGTCTATTTCTTTCTCTCTGTTACTCTGCCTTTCAAATCAATAAAGTAAATCTTAAAAACAAAAAGCAAAAGCTGTAGTCTGGAGAAACTCTGGAGAAAAATGGCTCCATTCTTTTCATTTACTCATCCAGAAAACAATAGGAAACAACTGGTGCATAGAAGTGAAAGCAAATTATAATAAATATAGGTAGTATCAATGTAAGTTTTATAGGTGGGCCACATTTTAAGAAAATTAAAAACAAAGGTCAACTGTACTATTAACATTTCTCCATGTTTTATATAACCCAAAAGTAGGTGGCTTTAGATCAGTGGCATATAGTATATATAAATGTTATTACTCAGCAAGTTTAGTTCTTTGAAATTTCAAATTTCAGATGAAACTGGAAAGATACTAGGCCCAAGTTTATTGCAAAGCAAGCTGTTGTAATTAATGTGAAGTAACTTTGTAAGGTTTGTGGAAATGCTTATTATGAAAAACTTGAGTATTTATTTCAAAACTTTTTGTACCAAAATAAACTTATATGTAATTCCATTTTTCCATAGACTACTTGAAGTTCTAATATGTTTCCTAGAGGGATATCTCAAAAATATAACTAAAGAAAATTTGAAGGTAAAAAGAAATTTTGGGGCCTATGCTATGGCGTAGTGGGTAAAGCCTCTGCCTGCAGTGCTGGCATCTCATATGGGCGCCGGTTCTAGTCCTTGCTGTTCCACTTGTAATCCAGCTCCCTGCTAATGTACCTGGGAAGGCTGCAGAAGATGGCCCAAGTCTCTGGGCTTCTGCACCCTCCTGGGAGACTTCGAAGAAGTTCTTGGCTTCAGCCAGTTCCAGCTGTTGCGGCCATTTGAAGAGTAAACCAGTGGATAGATGATCTCTCTGTCTCTATTTCTGTACCTGTAGCTCTGCCTTTCAAATAAGTAAATGAATCTTAAAAAGTCCAAGGATCTTTTTTAATGAAGAAAGCCCTTTAACTGTGACATTACTTTAGTCTAAATACTGACAGCTACTTGGAATATCTGTAATACACCCATTACTTGGTATGTTTTTAAAACTAGGTAAGGGATATTGGCCAAATAAAAATTATTGGATGCTTCTTTTCTCTTTAATATATTAAAAAAGTCTTATTGATGGCTGAAGATTTTCATTTCCCAGTAAATTTTCATGTATGTTATTAAGTAAAGTGCTGTTATCCTTATTTCTTGGGAGAAGAAGCACAGAAAATGTTAAGTGGTTTGAGCATGGTTTCACAGCCATACTAGTAAGAAGCTCTGTGGATTTAAGTCCAAGCCTGCCGCTCCCTGCTTTATGCTCATTCCTCATATGCCACTGCCCTCCTGTTCATTGCCTTTGCGAATGGCTTTGCCCAGCAGGAGCCTGGCTTGTTTGAGTGGCAAACAGACAGACTGTACTAATGTTTATAGCTACATCCAGGGTGAAGGCATGCTTTTTGTTTGTTTTCCAGGGAGAAATATTTAATGGTTTTCTTCATTGTTCATTTAAGAAGACTTTAGCTCTCTTCTCACTTACCACTCTGAGAATAGAAGTATGACATGAAGGTAAAAACAAAAAACCTTAATATTTAACCCATATTATGGTCTTGTTTTAAAACTGTAGATTTGGAATTTAAGTGGTCTGGGCATGGTTTGTATTGTTAGCAAATAGTTTGCATATGGCTACCCAATGCAAAACAATAACAAAATGGACTTTTAATAGAGTGAAAATTAAGGGTCATTTTGTCTCATAATTTAGTTTTAACAGGTTCAGAAGTTAAAAAAAAATGCTTATCAGGTCATTCAGTGAAGGACTGTTCAATAGAGGGTTTGTAGGATAAAAAGATGGGAAACAGCTTTCAGAGTATTGACAGAGGAGAAGTGTTCATTTTATTTCCAAGGCCTGAAATTCCATGAAGAAAGGATTATAATGCCGAGCTGGCTCCGCGGCTCACTAGGCTAATCCTCCGCCTGCGGCGCCAGCACACCGGGTTCTAGTCCCAGTCGGGGAGCCGGATTCTGTCCCGGTTGCCCCTCTTCCAGGCCAGCTCTCTGTTGTGGCCCGGGAGTACAGTGGAGGATGGCCCAAGTGCTTGGGTCCTGCACCCCATGGGAGACCAGGAGAAGCACCTGGCTCCTGCCTTCGGATCAGCATGGTGTGCCAGCCATGGTGGCCATTGGAGAGTGAACCAAAGGCAAAGGAAGACCTTTCTCTCTGTCTCTCTCTCTCACTGTCCACTCTGCCTGTCAAAAAAATAAATAAATAAAAAGTTAGACGAACAAAATGCGTCCAGGGAGAGCAGGAGATCGCTTGTTCCTGCCTGCTGAGTTCCATCACAGTAGTATCTCTGGAAGCTGCCTGGTTGGAAGTAATATGTGATAATAGCCCATGAAAAATAATTAGCACTAAACAACCCAACATAAGGTAGCTTTACCAAGTGTAATTACAAAATGATTTTTATACAGAGCTAGCTCTAAGTAGATGCCCTTTAAGACCCCAAAAAATTCTATGGTTCATATGCTAATCTACTAGATATTCCCATTCAGGAAATGTATGACATGGATCTCCTTCAGCATAGAACCTGCACAAGCTATTCTTACTTTCAGAATACATACTAATATGCTTATAGACAAAGTAATCATGACATCCTAAAATTCCCAGAATAAAAATCACAGTGAACCAGTACACACTGGCTTACACACACACACACACACACACACACTTATATACATATTTCCTGTTTGTGAGGTTAGGTTGTAAATAAAGCTTAAGGAATCCTGTAAGTTTTAATTAAATAAAATTGTCCAATTCCATGGGATTAGTAAGGCTGTTTCTGATAGAATTTCAATATTATTGGATCATGAAGGCATCCATTGCACACAGTCCTCAGCTGGAAAACATGTATTTCTCAGTCTTTCATATCACCTATGTGCTCAGGAGAATGCCCAAAACACCACTACACTAAGAAAGAACAGAACACCCACTGTTATGGTGACAAAATTGTATTTCAACTTCTTCTCCTTTTTTAAAAATCCACATGTGTTATGTTACTAAGAAAACTTCTTTATGGATTAGAAACTAGATTTATGAAAGTCCAGCAAGTGTGAACTGTGTGATGATGAAGAGCCAAAATTTATCCACATGTAATAGATAATTTAAAATACTCATTCCTTTAAATAAATTGCATTTTCATTTCTATATATGCACATATTTATAGTTGTTTACACAGAATTTTTTAATGTTTATTCATTTTTATTTATTGAAAAGTCAGATTGAAAGAGACAGAGAGCAAATTCCTCCATCCACTGGTTCACTCCCTGAATCCCCATAACAGTTAGAGCTGACCCAGGCCAAAGCCTGGAGCCAGGAACTCCGTACAGGTCTCCAATGTAAGTGACAGGAACTCAAGTACTTGAGCCATCATTTACTGCCTCCCAGAGTTTGCACTAACAGGTAGCTAGATTCCAAGTGGAGGCGGGCCTCTATCCCAGAGAATCTGATATGGGATACAGCCATCTCAAGTGGCAGTGAACCCCCCTGTACCACATCTGCTCCAATTATTTTTTTTAAATTATTTTATAATTTATTTGAAAGGCAGAGTTACAGAGAGAGATAGAGACAGAGAGAGAGGTCTTCCATCTGCTGGTTCACTCCCCAGATTGCTGCAATGGCCAGAGCTGCACCGATCTGAAGCCAGGAGCCAGGAGCTTCTTCTGGGTCTCCCATATGGGTGCAGGGACCCAAGGACTTGGGCCATCTTTTACTGCTTTCCTAGGCCATAGCAGAGAGCTGGATTTGAAGAGGAGCAGCTGGGACTATAACTGGTGCCTATATGTTTTTTTTTTTTTTTAAGTTTGACTTGAAAATGTCCCATGGAATTTAGAGTATCAGATATTCATTACTGAATGTCTCATAAAACTTGAAAATTACCTATCAGTAGGATCATCTTCTGAAGCGTGCTATACATTTACTATGAAATACTCCTAACCATGTGAAAATGAACTGTTGAATTGATTTTTATCCTCTGTACATAAACAGAAATTCTCCACACTGTCAAAGTAATCTCACCCTAACATCATCATAATCGTACCTCCTATTGTCCTGTTCTCAAAAATCCCCCAAAAACAAAACTAGAATTCATCAGTGTTTCCTCTTTCTTAATAATGACCAAAGCCATCACACAGCCAGAGGTCTTTTCTGGCTGCCTTTCTCTCTTCTCCTGCTTTCCCATGTACTCGCTTTCTGTTTTTGCCTCCTGCCTCCTCCACCCCAGCTACAGGACATTTGCACATGATCTTTCCCTCACCAACTCCTACTTATACAAGGATAACTTAAAAAACTATGGAAAATTAAATTGTTTATTTTAATAAAAAATTTAATCATGCAGTGTTTTTCATAATATACATTTTTCATGAACTTTGTACAGACCCTTCATATGCATGGATTTCTGGGGTTTGCACCAAAATAAAGTTATTTTTTTAATTTTGTTTTCACAAACTTTTTGAAATTCCTGTTTTATATATTGAAGGTTGAGAATAATTTTCTGATGTCTGCACAATACTTTCCTAAACAATGAAGACTGATTCCAAATGTACAAGTCACTGTTGTTATATATTTTCACCGGGCTGTTTATTTCCTTGTAAATACATATGTATCTAAATTTTTTTTTGACAGGCAGAGTGGACAGTGAGAGAGAGAGAGACAGAGAGAAAGGTCTTCCTTTGCCGTTGGTTCACCCTCCAATGACCGCGCGGCTGGCGCACCACGCTGATCCAATAGCAGGAGCCAGGAGCCAGTTGCTTTTCCTGGTCTCCCATGGGGTGCAGGGCCCAAGGACTTGGGCCATCCTCCACTGCCCTCCCGGGCCACAGCAGAGAGCTGGCCTGGAAGAGGGGCAACCGGGACAGAATCCGGCGCCCTGACCGGGACTAGAACCCGGTGTGCCGGCGCCGCTAGGCGGAGGATTAGCCTAGTGAGCCGCGGCGCCGGCCATGTATCTAAATTTTATAATTTGTAAAATAATCTCTATAAAAGTAGTAAGCACATGACTTTTTATACACAGCAATGTAACTACCACAATGAGTACAATTGGTCAGTGTTAAATGAATAACTGTTCCAGGCACTTATGATATTCAGGAAAGAGAGAAGAAATAAAAAGGTTTCTAAAATCCCTTCTCCCTTAGAATGCACATGATAGCAAGGGGAAATGACGAAAAATACATATAATGAATAAGTAAATTATATAGTCTGTTAGGCAAGGATGGACAATTTTGTGTCAGAGTATGGTGACCAAGACTGCTCGCAATGGAGGGATCATGGGGGCAGGTTGAAATGTTAGGTATAAATTTTTAGTCCATGTATATCTGTTTCAGAAGCTAACATATTGAGTAAAAGCATGAGGGAAGAGAAGGAATTCACTATGTGACTCTCTGAGGGAAGAACATTCCTGAGAGAAGAAACACCCAGAACAAAACTGGGAGAGTTTCTGGAATAACCAAGTGGCTGGTATGGCCAAAATGGGATGAACAAGTGAGGTAGTACTGGTCAAAGATGTTAGAGACATCATGGGGATGAGATGCCTTAACTGAAAGTCATGAAAAGTATATTTTAAATGCATTCTAATACTATGGCATTACTACTAACCACAGAGTATAATGCTGAGTCATGTGCTAACAGGTAGGTAACAATCATTATCTCTGAACTTATTTACCAGCTGTTCAAATTAGAAGTTAATCCCAATTCAAGCAAATTCTTCGGAAGATTTTTTTTCTTACATTTATTTATTTATTTGAAAGGCAGAGCTACAGAGAGAGGAAGAGAGACAGAAAGAGAAAGAGATCTTGCATCCACTGATCACACCCTAGATGTCCGCAATGGTTGAGGATGAGCCAGGCAGAGTCCAGGAACCAAGAGCTTCATCAGGTTCTCCCACATGGGTACCAAGGACTCAAACACTTGGGCCATCCTCTACTGCTTTTCCAAGGCCATTAACAGGGAATTAGAAAAGAAGTGGAGCAGCCTGGGCACAAACCGGCACCCGTTTGAGATGCCGGTATTGCAGACAGTGACTTTACCCATTATGCCTCAACGCTGGCCTCAACGTTCAAATTTCTAATAAGCAGTTGAACAGATGCCTGAACATCATTAGTTGTAGGGGAAAGCAAATCAAAATGACAATAAGATACTACCTCCCACCAACTAGGATCTCACTAAGATAGCAAGTCAGAAAATAGCAAATCTTGATGAGGATGGAGAGAAATCTAAAGATTCATAAATTGCTGATGAGAATATAAAATGGTGTAGTTGCCTAGAAAAGTTTTCTGACAGTTCCTCAAATAATTATACATAGATTTGCTATGTGTCCCAGTAATTCATTTCTATAACTATGGACAAGAGAAATGTAAACATATGTTCACACTAAAACTTGTAGATTAAGTTTATGGCAGCATTATTGATAAAAACCAAATGGTGAAAAAAACTCACATGTCTATCAGCTGATGGGTGGATTTTTAACCAGTGATATATTTACCCACTGAAATATCATTCAGCCATAAAAAAGAATGAA